CATCTTTGCTCATAGGATCAATCCCAATGACGGACATCAGAGATTTGTTGTCTTTACACGTGTAATTCACCCGCCCAAATGATTTAGTACAGATACGGCAGTGAGTGTCAAGGTATCTCTGGTGTTTTGTAGTCATGCTAAATGATGGTGAATGATGGTCAGTTTAAATATTATTTAATGAAAACTATCTCTCAGTGCTTTATTTCTCTAGCCTATAATTTTGTCATTTAGTTAGGCACTTGCTTAGTAAGTATATCAGATGCTTAAAATTCAAATATTCAACACTCAGTATCTTTTGTTAAAAAAATATTAACATTTATTATCAACCACCATACTTTAATTCAACTCATAATCTATCAATACATACCTTTTATATTGTCTATAAAACTTCCCTTTAGATACAGCAGACCACAGAACAAGACCACTATCGTAGTTTTTGAATAGCACTGTTGATGCAGCTGATGCGCAGTACTACACTATACTGTTTATCTATGCGCAGTGCAGTTTTATTGCTTCTACATGTTAATATTATATACTGTGTGTGCTAAAATAAGTGTATTCATGATGTAATGTGTTACTATTTTGATAACAAAGAATCTATACAAACAGGAAGTTCTTCTCTCAATTTAAAAGATTCCGTAAATAATCTAATTATTGACTTTTTGAACACAATAAACACCCGTGTACTAGTCATGCATGAGTTTAGTGTTTTAGTTTATACTCATTGAAAGTCCAACTGTCAGTTGTATATCTTGGAAAAGCCAATAAAGTCACTTTTTCTCTTGCTAAGATGGTTGCCGGTTTTCCAAAGACTGCTATAAGGGGCCGGCTGCTGGTTCTCAAGCTACTATCCTTTCCAAACCGGTTGCTGGTCCCGGAGGCATTAGTTGTAGCAACCAGCTGCCGGCGCTCTAGCCACTTCGATAAAAAAATTACCAAAAATACACAGGACTTACCCTTTAAAGCATTAAATTGTGCTAAAAGTATTTATTACTTGCTTGTGTAAGTTCAAAAAGTACAATACTTTGTAGGGGAAGTGAAAAGTATGCAAATGGTGAGGTCAGATGCCTGATATGGCATAATAAGAGAGATGTAAACATGTTGTTGACTTACCGTACTGATGAGCTAATTGATAAGACAAGACAATCGATGAGAGCAGCTGAAGGAGTGGTACATTGAGGTCGATGGATGTGGATAATACTTGTGAGGAAGAACACGTGGATGGAAAGAAATTTCAAGAAGGATGTAAATATGACTGGACAGGATGGTACATTAGCTAGTGTGCGTCTATTATGAACGCTTACCTGATATTTTCTCATTCTGTCCCTCTAATCCAAAGAAAAGGAAGACTATCAGAGATAGCATTCAGTAGTGGTCCATCTTGGGTCATATGATATGCGCTTCAATTAGAACTGAACTAGGTGTGTTGATCGAGTATGGTATAAACATGAAGCTTATGTTTGGTCTCTTGGAACAACGTAAATGAAGGTATTTCTTCTGTCCAGACGAAGTAATGACAGCAGATAAAACTATGACATACTTTTGAACTATAGAACACAAGCTGTAATATTATACATAATTATGGCATTTTTCATTACTCTACAACAAAACAATAAAAACAATCATTCATAGTGTTGCACACTCTAATGGATACCATAGTAGTTATATTTTCTTCCAGTTTCTATTAACTGAAAGTGAGTGGTATACAAGTTTCAAACTTTCCTTACTTACCACCACAGGCTTGCAACTAAAGTAATGCCAGAGCCTTACCTGTGTGCAAACGGAGTTAACACTAACAAAAGTTTACAGGATCATTGTAGACTTACTTATACTCCTGGCAAAGGAAACTCAATGTTCATGGTTGAAATTGAGTGTGCGCGTGGTTTTAAAGGAAGATATTGATCAGATTTTCTGTTTTTCTAAACTATGTGACCATAATTGACAAAAGGTACCTTATGGCGGATTTTCATATCCATTATTTTAATGAAAAATATCAACCTGTGTGTACTCTGTTAGACAACCATTGTTTGTAAGAGTTACATAGATACATTCTGCATCCCGTGGAGTAATATATAGGCCTTTTCACACTGGCACAGTTTTCAAAGCGCTTTGATGTGCTTTGTTGATACAGCTGAAATAATGCGCATTGATCTTGTTCACACTAGGAGCTGAATTCAGTGTTCTTGTTGCCATTGGTTTACATTGATCGAAGCGCATCACTTCACATCAATCCACCTCTGGAGGTGAAGGGAGAGTGATGCGCATCAATGCACATTAATTGAAAACCACTCTAGTGTGAACACGATTAATGCGCGTCAATGCGCATTACTTCGGCTAGTGTGAAAAGCCTTATGATAAATGGAGGTCAGGAAGTTGGATATTTCAGGCTATAAAGACCAATTTTCCTATCCCCCATCAGGTACCTTCTGTCAATTATGG